CCCGGCCGTCGTCTATGTTCTCACAGTAAGCGTATTGCAGTTCAATCGTGTCGTTCTCGAAGACCGATGTGTACTCTTCGCACCGCTTCTTCGCGGCCGACGGCAGGTCTGCCCCAACCCTATAGACAATGAATACCAACGCGAATATCAACGATAATTTCATCGTTGATTTTATGTATAGGTTTTTTTTTGTATTAAGTCAACGCTGAAAGTATTGATTTATTCAGATGACTAAATAATACCTAGTTTACAATTAGTAATCAGTCCTTATATACTATTTAACTTTTTAATTGAGTGCATATGTCGTACATTTTAGACATACAGGTATGTATATAATTAATTAAGCGTATAAATTTCTTTGAACAGTGTCATTTATTAAATTTGTTTATGCCAAATTGTTTTTAGACAACTGTTTTTTAAGTAATCCCAGATTATAATACATGTGCATTTGTATTAAGCAATATAATTAATAACTTAAACCATGATTTGTTATGAAATAATTTTACCATCATTTTATCGCACCATATAATGTCATATATTACTTATTGATTTATTAATGTTGTATATAATTTTTATGTAATATTATTTTAATTTTATATTTAAATGCTTTTACTTTTTAATTAGCTATATTAATTTAGTAAATTGCAATTTATATATCTTATGCTTAAGCATTTAGATTTAGATATTGCATTTAGATAAATGTGTTATTCTAACAATTTAGTAAGAAATAATTTCTAGATTGCAATTTAGAAATGAATTTATAATTAATTGATTTTCTATGGCTTATATTCTATTATAACTTAGTTTTCGCTTAGGCAGTACTCTTATTTAGTAATTAATTACTCAAACCATAGGTTATAGTTTTGTAAATTTAGTTGCTACCTTAAAATATTTCATTCAATACACTGAAAATTTGAGAAATAAATGTGCAAATGTGATAAACTTTTATTTTTTAAAGCATGCTTATTATTATTTAATGCATGTTTATTAACTATAGACATAATTTACAACAACATTTCTGATTAGCAAAATAATATTACAGATTATACTTTATAATACAGACTATAGTAATCATATAATATTATTAAAAATTACATTATACAATTAAGCTTAAGGAATGGTTGCATCATGATTGGGTGTATGCACTTTAATAGGTCCGTGTAAATCCATATTACCATCATTTAAAATGGTAACCATGGCATCGCATCGATCCACGGATTGTCTCCACTCGTCGCGGGTGTCGGGATCTTCGGGGTCCCAGAGGTCGGCGCGTCTGTTCTTCAGGAACTTCTTCAGCCACGCCTTCTCATCACCTGAATTGTGTCCCGTCTTCTTAAGGATAGCGCCGATTGAGTCGCCGTCTTCGTCGTCCCCGTGTTGTATAATGCAGTCATAGAGAGCGCATTGGCCTAAATGTGTCTTCACGTTGTACTTCACGGCGTAAGCCATGGCTGGCCTGTAATGCAAATCAACGTTTCATATTATATTGTATTAATAAAATAAAAATAAATGAAATAAAACCCGATAACAGTAAGCGAGATTATATTAATACAATGAAAATACAATGTAAATAAACTTTAGTTAGAAAACATATATTAATATAAATATGGGTAAAATATACTATACATACTTGTAGTACATCTCGTCGGACACCTCGTCCTGAATCTGTCGGAAGAGTGAGTCTTTTGCCGCCTCTTTCCATGCGTTTACATAACCGCCTAATTTACTCGTGTCATCGCTGCTCTCTTTGGCCAATCTCTCCATCTCTTTCAGATACTTAGCCAATGGGTTGTCGGGCTTCTTAGCCGTGTATTTCTGACCACAACCACCGCATCTCCCGTTCCCGTACAGAATCCGGCCCTTCCAGACGTGTATCCCCGGCCGTCGCCGATGTCTTCACAGTAAGCGTATTGCAGTTCAATCGTGTCGTTCTCGAAGATCGATGTGTACTCTTCGCACCGTTTCTTAGCGGCCGACGGCAGGTCTGCCCCAACCCTATAGACTATGAATACCAACGCGAATATCAGTGAAAATTTCATTGTTTTTTTGGTTTGCTTTGAGTTAACAGCAAAACTGCTGTTGAAATGAGTTACAACTTATATAGTTTTGTTTAAGTGGATATACAGTGTATATAAAGTCTGTATTTTACTTAAATTCTATAATCAATGTGAATTACTGATATGCATATGTTTTTGAATTTGTTTATTTAATCAATATTGCGAAAATATTTTAGTTTGTTTTTTCTAAACTCTAGAGTAATTCTCAGCTATTAAGACATTTATATTTAATCTACCGTATTAGACAATGATTTCTAAATGTAATTTTATCATGGATGTATTTATGCAGACATTTTAGCTAATTGTACCGCAAAAATCTGTCCTTAATTAAGATTGGGATTGAGTCCATACTATCTGTTCATATATTGCTCAATGAGTTATTGATACTAATATATATAAATATTGTTTACCTGTTTGGAAATTGATATCAAAATACAGGTATCTTAAAGCAAATATTGTGATTAAATAAAACGAACAAGTACACACTTTAGAAAATCACCTATCTAAAGTATGCACCAGTCCAAAGGCCAATGTGTGATTCCGGGAGCCCATAGATACCGGAATATGATTTTTTGCACAATTGGTGCATAAGATATATTAATAGCATATGTTTAACGTTGGAAATAGCATTAACTAATAACTAAAAAACAATTACTTAATGCATAACAGACTTTATTATTACACTCTTATAATAAATTATGGATCAATAACAATATATTGATAATTAATTAAGCTACAAAATAATCAATTTTTATATATAGCTAAAAATAATGATTACAATATCGGTAACAAGTGGTAAACAAGTCTTTATATGGAAATACAATAGAGAGGGAGAGATAGTGGGGAAAGAATTGAGAAAAAGCAACTGATATATCATTAATATTATCAAATTTTACATTAAAAAACTCATATATAAGGAGACATCAATTCGTTAGCGACTAATTGTCGTGAATTGTTCACAAAGACAGTCAATAAAAAGCATGAAGTTATCGCTGATATTCGCGTTGGCATTCATTGTCTATAGGGTTGGGGCAGACCTGCCGTCGGCCGCGAAGAAGCGGTGCGAAGAGTACACATCGATCTTCGAGAACGACACGATTGAACTGCAATACGCTTACTGTGAGAACATTCACGACGGCCGGGGATACACGTCCGGAAGGGCCGGATTCTGTACGGGAACGGGAG